ACGGCTTGCAGCAGGCAGTGCTTCAGCCCCTCTCCTCCTCCTCACACCTTGCCTACCTCCTCCGTCTTTTCGCTCTAAAACATCAAATGCTTTTCATTTTGAAGTTTTTGTGGAAGAGATATCCTTCGAAGGGCGAGAAGCAGCTCTTGGTACCGTGTGCTGGGATTTGGCAAATAAGCATGTCATCAGTAATTCATTTATTTTAGACGATCCAGACCTGAAAGATATTGACCCTACGGTATTAAAACATTGCCATGCTGCGGCTGCAACGTGTATTCTGGAGGCAGGAAAGCAGAAAGCCGACATATCTGCTATAAGGTACTAATACTTTGAAGCTACCCCATTTTTCTGGCAGTTGTTACTTTAAACTGTACTGCTGAGTTAATGTTAACAGAAAACTAATACATTCTTTTTCCCTGTAGCACATGTCTGGAAGACTGTAAACTGGATAAAGAGAGAATAGAACAATTTTGCACCGAATATCAGGTTTTTAAAGCAATTTTAACATATTTATGTTTTCTTTCTCTCATAGGAATTTATTGAACCTAGCAAATGGGTTTTTTTTCTTTTTTTTTTTTCTCTCCAGAAAAACAAGGATGCATTGGAAATCCTATTGGGAAGGTAGGTAAATCAGTCAGCACAGATATATAGTTTCAATTGCAGTTACTTTGAAACTGTCCTGGAAAACACCTATGCATATTTTAGGTGATTAAAGTAAGAAATACTGTTCCATTAAAAAAAAAAAAATTGTACATTTTTAACAAACTTTAGAAACTTTTCTTCCTCCTTTCAAGTTCCACTCTTAATAAACTTTTTGAACTTTTCAAGAAGCATTACAAGGATCATGAAAAAGTTCTGTATTGATGGACAGCTTTAGAAAATGAGACTTTCTTTTAGCGCGGGGAACTTGTAACTGTTGTGTCTTTCAGCATAGGCAGATCTCTTCTCCATGTAACTGATGTGTCTTGGCGCTTGGAATATCAGATCAAGGTAATTTTAACACATCAAGGTGTTTCTTTAGTCTGTTTCAGTGCTGAGACCTGACTTTTTTCTGTGCTCTTTGTTTTTAATTTAGAGCAATCAACTTCACAAAACTTACCAGCCTTCCTACCTGGTGACCTTAAATGTAGAGGTACCGTACTCCCAGTACCCTCAGAGGAAAAAATGCAATTTCACGATTTTTTTTTTAATAAAACAGGCATTGTTGTTTGTTTTTTTTCTTCAGAACAGTGATTCAGGATCACACCCAGATGTTAGTTTTAGTTGCACGATGGAGCAATTACAGGTACTTCTTTCTTTCATCATTGTTTTTATGCTTGGCTCCAGTTGTGCATGTAAATGTTTTTTAAAACTTGTCAATCAAAATGAGATCATATATACTATTATTAAAAAAAAAAAAAATCTAGTACTGGGAGGGTAGGAGAGAACCTTCTATAAAAATTATCCGAGTGTAGTTTTCCTGTCTTCTCAAATAAAGTTGCAAAGTAACTGATTTTAGTTGCTTAGGGAGTTTTACATATGTGCATAAATATTTTGTCTGTTTTCATAACTGTAATATATATCTATATATATGGGAGGAAGTGCATTATTTTTCTGAAACTCTGATTTCCCGTGCTTTAGAGAAATGATTAAAGAAGCTGGTTCAGTGATTTAAATGTGTCATGATTAAAAGTAGAGAACGAACTGAAGGCTCTTCAGTGGTCTTAATGACATGTAAGAAATGTACTGAAAAAATGTTGATCTTTGTTTAGCGATTTAAATGTGTAACTGAACAATAGAGGTATTGTAATGCTTGGAAGTGACCAAACTGTGGAGGATTGGGAAGAGGGGTTGCGGGGAGGGGAAAAGCAAGATACTAAAACTTCAGGTTTACACCTCTCCTTTTTCAATGTGTGTCTCAAAAGTTGTCCTTTATTTAATAATGAGTGTTTTGAATGGGTTTGCTGACTTGGATAAATCTGACGTGCTTTGCCTGGAGAATGGTCCTAGTACAAAATTACACTCAAAGTATTTTCAGTATTTTAGAAATGTGTATAGTACTTCAAAGCCTAGAGCAAATGTCAGCGTTAGCCATTGTAACGCTACCGATAAAATCTACGTGTTAGGAGTAGTGATCTATTTTAGTAGATTATATATGTTAAAAGGTGTTTTCCTTCAGTTCCCACTTTTCTTACTACATTGTAAAATAGGGAGCTATTTAATTACATGCTGGCATTGTTCGTCAGTTGCAACATTTCTTTGTGGTATAAGGTGCTGGTTTCCCTTGATTCTCTGTATAAAAAAATATTATGTTCTACTAGCTGACCTTTTAAAAAATATGTTTATTCTAAGACAGTATTTCATCTCGTAGGATTTAGTTGGAAAACTAAAAGATGCTGCAAAAAGTCTAGAAAGAGCGAGTCAGATGTGATTGAAGGAAGGTGTCAGCCTGCTGAGCTGAAGTGCTCTCATTCCTAAGAGTGTCTTCTAAATGACAAATGTCTTTCATCCCTTGATGCAAACTGTTCTCTCTCTCTTTTCTTTTTTTTTTTTTTTTTTTTTTTTTTTTTAAGTCCTTGGATGCGAATTAAGTGAAATAACTTTTTATGACCGCACTTGGTATTCCTTGCTCGTGTCATATTTTTTAAAATTAACCCTTGTTAAATATTTGCTTAACCGTCGTGTCTTCAAAGCATTCCTTCTATTTTATTTTGTGTGTTTTCAGAATTGTCACTGATTATTTTTCTCTGGGATCTAATAAAGTTTATTCGCTCCCGTTCTGCAATTTCTGTGGGTGAATTAGCTGTACCTGAAAGTAACGTTAGGTCAGCGCCGTGAGGTGAAAATCCCTTCCTCCCGTGCCGCTGCTGCGGCGCGTTTGCTAAATTGCTATTTCACTCCAACTGACCTTACATCGGCGGTAAGAGTGAGGCTCGGTCCCCGGCGCGGGAGGAAAGAAGGATTTTAATTTAATTTTGTGGAGCCGGGGCGCCTCACGGAACGTCCCGAGCCCGCGGGGCTGAGCGGAGCTGGTGTCGGCTCCGGTTCGACGGCGTCTCCCCCCTCGCGGTGCCGCTCCG